TTACTTATATTCTTTCTATTATTTGTGTAAAATTTTCTTACATGCACTAAGACTAAGAATTTCTTCATATTTCGAAGCTATTTCCTTTTAATTTCTTATGCGGAGATTTAAAAACCACTAGATTTGCGGAATTTTGCCAAATTTCTCCCGAAAAAATTCAACCACGAAATCTAGTGGCTTCACTTTGCAACCCTTGTCCTCTATACGAGCTTGGAAACGACAACATAGCTGCTAGCAGGATAGCACACAGATGTAAAGCTAGGCTGCTCAGTCCTTCAGTCCTTCTGCAACCCTGCAGGCGGAGTTGCCACTTTTATTAATCATGGATGAACATTGTTTTCTGTGTTGGGTATTGATATTTTGTATATTGCACGATAAATCCCGCGGGAAAATAATTTGTGGAACGTATAGTTTGATAGTTTTTTTTCACCCAGATATCCTATAACGGTTTTTTTCGGCTACGGGGGCTGAGGATTGTGTTCAAATAGTTTATTGTAGTTCAGTTGTTGTTATACTGGTAGTTTTAATTCTATTATCTTGGACACTAAGTAAATCCACTCTGGTTTCCATCATTTATACGCCCTCTTATAATTACGAACAACTGAATCACATCTTTTCAAAGAACGTATTGTTAAATTACGCTTTTGCAAAAAAAGGAACCAGCTTTAATGAGGCCATTGTTTATTTATTGCATAATATAACAATAAAACGTTAATAGATTACTAATTTAAATATGTAAGTAGCATTTTTGTCGCTTAACAAAAAAAGGAGTTATATCGAGCATGGCCTACTCATAAATTATGCATTTTCTTTAAGTTCGGGGCACGTGACTAGCATCTTCCAAATGACTTTAATAGTATACACAAGCGAGGGGGTCATTCAACGAATTTTCCATATCTTTAAATTATATGTAATGGGTGAGAGGGTAGTTTGTATTATGTAAATCAGGCGGTGGCCACACTCTCGCGTTTCGTAGGGTCCACGGATTGATTGAAAGAAATTGCATGTTAAATCAAAAGGTGCAAACAAGCGAACCCGAACGTACATTGATTCCGATTATTTTATTCTAATTATTCGGGGGCCAATAAAAAAATTAGGGGGTGGATGTAAATTGGAATGGCATATGGTGGCTGTTAATTGCACGCACCTTACCGTTACGGCAATAAAACCGTACCTGATTTACATTTTTGGAGCGTTTTTCGGTTGCAATGCCATATGCCTATTTAGGAATATATTATAATAACGTCGATCACACGCTCACCGAATGCGGAAGCTGCAGCGCGAAGAACCAACGGAAAGTATACGGATGAGTTCCGCAAGAAATATGACAAAAGGCGCACGGTTTTTTTCCCTTCGCATCATCCACCAAGACCCAATAAACACCCTTAGGTATTGTTACGATCTGTACCAGGTGAGAGACTCCGCCTGAACTGACCTGACCTAACCTTTTTCTTACCCTCTTACGTTAACAATACCTGATCTAATTTTAAATAACACAATGCAACTATAAGAATAATGGTATATACCGATTCCCACGTATTCCCGAATTTGTCCTTCCACAATACTTCCTGAAACTTATATAACGAAGAGGAATCGCGGGGACTAACTTGTTTAAATGCAAGTCAATGGAAATCAAGTTTAGCAACTTATTCTCGTACGGGCCGTTATAAAGTCATAGAAAAGAAAGCTGTACTAGTTTAAGGGTCTATTCAGTTATGAAAGAAAGAAAAACGGTAACCGACCTAAATAAATTATAGTTATAATGAGAAATTCCTAATTTAAATAAAAACGTTAGAGAATGTCTACTAATAGTAAATCGCAGTGCAATAAAAATTATCAGATTATTAGCAGGTATCAACGGGTCAAAAGAAGCTGCAAAATTAATCTTGTGTTCAACTGACATCTCAGTTCCGTGTATCAAGGAGGTTCAAGATTTTCTTCCACATTACATTTTCATGCCAAAAGTAGTTCTTGATTTTTTTGTGCCTGAGTTTGGTACTCTATCTCTACTTTGAGTAAAAAATGTTGTACGAACGTTCACGTTACGTGTTTGAAACCTATCGAATAGAAAACCTGCAACTTCCGATGCAGCCTCCGTGCTGAAATCTGAATCCTCAGATGAAGGGATTGAATTCATGCAAATATTTGATGTATTTTTCATTACAAAGACGTCAACAAGTTTAGTAGTCTTCAGGGTTTTAGAATATCGTATTTGAAATATTTTAGAAATCTTGAATTAATTTACAAAAATTTATTTATTTATTTATTTATTTATTATCCCTCTCTTAGTTTTGGTCCCTCAACAGGCATGCGCCCAATTACAGAGTGACCCGCATAATGCTATTTAGACGTGCCTCTGCAGAAGGTCTTAAGTTGGTCTATACTACTCCGGTATTTACCTTACGAATTAGGAAAACTGCAGGAAAACCTAATTTTCGCTTAGGTATATCTTCATTTCGGTGCATTTTAGCTACAAAAAAAGTTTTTACTCAATGTCATAGACAATTAAATTTCCTATAATTTACTTTTGTAAATTTGGTTTCTAGAACTGATAGCTAGATGTAACATTAGAACGCTGTAATTCAGTAATGGGAATTGAATTATCTACAAAATGCATGCGATTTTTTTAACCAACCCTACGGTGGGGGGGGGGCGCATACGTGCGCATGCGCGATTCTGCCCTTCTATCTACCAAATTTGGTTCCAATCGGTGCAACCGTTTAGCCGGAAAGGAAGGTACGGACGGACCGACAGACCGTCCTCATCGAGATTTTGATTCGGATTCCTGGTGCTTCAAAAGGTGTATTTCCGTCAAAAAAGTGGGGTCATTTTTTACCCTAATGCAAAATTCCCTAAATTACAGGATTCTGAAGTTAGAAGTTTGACACACTTCCGGAACACACGCTTTTTTTAAATTTTTATGCATATGTCCGTAACTAGCAGTCCGGCAAACCCTAAAAACGTAAATTATAGGAAATTTAATTCTCTACAGCATTACTCTTATGTAACGAAGATATAAGCGAAAATCTGAAGAAAGTACCGATTTTTTTCGAACACATCCTTATACAGTGCTATTTATTTAGAAGTAGACATAGGGATTTACGTGTATTGTTTTTCCCTATGTCTACTTTCAAAAGACAAAATCTCTTCTGAAGGGCGCCTAATTTTAGGCAACCAAAATAACTTCTTAAAACAAATAAACATCTGGCTGTCATATTAATTAATTTGAATATTGTTGTTTTTGGGTTCACAGAAAATAAATCTCTTACGCACCTTAAACTGTTACCGGCACGATACCAATTGAGAATATCAACGTTTTCTTCAGTTGAATACAGAAGCCAAAGTAACAATATTCAAATTAATTAATGTGACAGCTAGATCTTTATTTGATTTAAGAAGTTATTTTGATTGCATAAAATTAGGCGCCCTTCAGAAGAGTTTTTATCTTTTGAAAGTAGACATAGGGAAAAACAATATACACAAATCCCTATGTCTGCTTCTTAATAAACCGCACTGTATATGTTGTGGTTGAGAAAAGAATTTAAAAACAATGTTATAATCCATATAGAATCTTTGGCACTTTTACAACGCCTAGACAATCTTTCACAAATCCATCAGTTTACAATCTCCCTGAAATCATCTAGTGCAAGTGACGGTGAAAAGTTTGCTGCTACTTACGATTTTGTTTTCCAGCAACCTAACCCTTGAAAACACTTTTAAACACACATAAAAAAAACTTTTAAAAACTCATCAAAACCCGCAAGAGTTATTCATGATTATTAAAAACTTTTAAAGATTTCTGAAGGCTTTTTGACACTGAAACATGTTACAGGCTTGCTTCTTAAAGCTGCTGAATGACTTTCGGGTTAAGCTTTCAGAAAGGCTGTAGCTTTTAAGCAAAACGCTTAGTGTGAAAGGCTCTTAGAGACTCTTTTGAAAACTTCTGAATACCCTTAAAGACCTAAATATTAATAAATGGCCTCAAAGGGCTCAAGGTCCGACATTTTTGACGGTTCTAAAAAATCCTTTAGATTCTAAAAGCTTGGATTTTAAATAAAAAAACGCAAATGTCAAGGAACCTTCTGAAAAACTCTTAGACAGCTTTTACTGAGTTTTAAGAACTCGTAAAAGTTCATAAAGGCACCCAAAGGCTGTAAAAGCTCTCAAAGTCTTTAGAAGACATTTGGAGTCTCTTGAAAATCTTGGGCTCTTGAGGGTTTTTGAACAAAGAAGCCTTGAGAAGATTTTAACAGATTTTTAGAGGATTTTGGAAATTGTTGGTGATTCTTGAATACTTCGGATATTCTTAAAGATTATTAAAGACTCCCAGAACGTTTACTATTGGTGAAAAACGAGAAGAAAGCACTTCAAATCAAGGCTTCAGCAAAAGTTTGAGGCACTCAAGCAACTAGATTTATTAGTGTTTAATGGAAGAAACTGTGGTGTATTTTAAATAATACGACTTTATGTTTATCTAAACATCCATACAATCGAATATAATGGCATGATGATACTTCTGAGATGATAAGATTTTAAAATACACAGTAGGGGTTGCATGTTTCGACTATCCAGGTCATGCTGAGACAGGAGTACGTATAGCGAACGAAAATTAAGAATTTATACCTGTTTAGACTAAAGTGATAAATGAGACTTCCGATTTTTTAATGCGGTTTATGCTTGAAAGTAGAATAGTAATAATGACTAACTAACCGTGACGCCGTGAATAAGTAAGGGTTTTTATTAGTTAATTAATTTGATTAACATTGCGTTTTTTGGTTTGTTTGATGACATGGTAATACATTTAACCTAACGAGCATTGAAAAAATAAATGTAGTTTGTTGAAACAAAATGAATTCCGATCGTACCAATGATAATAACAGGTCGAATTTAAAAAACCCCCTTGCCATCGAACATCTGACAATCGTTAATTTCTAACACCTGCAACGTCCGCCCTTTATCGAGGTTAAATTGTAAATCTGACATGCGTTCTATAATTTCAGAATCCAATCAAATGTTGAAGTGGACTGTTACACGAAAACTGCAATCGGATGAAGCTCCACGCGTCTATCCTCATCATCAGCTAACCGAACCCACGAAAACCAAACGGAAAAAATTAAGCAGTTCGCGAACGCGCAAATCGGATAGTCCGAACAAAGAAAATGGCTTCACCTCCTCGACACCGATTAAATCGGATAATCACTCCTGCGATCCGCTGAGAGACGTTAGTAATTTCTCACCTCCTGATAAAAATCGGAGACGCTCGAATAAAAGGTATAACGATCGAAATTTCGCGCACGGTGAGAAGAAGAAGAAAAAAAGGTGCGTAGACAACCACGATGAGGTCTTCTTCAAACCGTTCGATTTGGTCGATTCGCACATTGAAGGTTTTTGCCCCGACGCCGCGTACTACGCACCGACCCTACCCACTTTCGGAGCCGAAGATTCGCCGTGTCTTCTGCGTAACGTTCCACCGACTCACCTAAGCACATCAATAACTAGTCTGGATAGTAACTTGCTACCCGTTAAAAAGGTGAAAACGTCCGAAGAAGACAAAGTGAACGTGTCACCTCTAGTCAAACGATTGATCGATTTAAGGTTTTGCAATGGAGAAAGTCAGAATAACTCGTCGTTCATCAACGATTTGTCCATCGATCAACTTGTCGATGCCATTTTGGATACAACGGACAAGGAGGAAGGCGGAGAGAATAGCGATCGGTTGCAAGAGGAGGAGAATGATCTCAACGCCACGCACGAGGAAAATATGCTCAACGCCGAGCAAGAAGGGCGAGCTTCTACGTCGAACGATTCGGGTTTTAATAGCAACACCACAAAACACCACGAAATTGAGGCCGATTTTAAGTGTAAGTGCAACGAGCAAGAACCAGCGAGTTATACTTATCAAGGCACAGACTGTGATAGAACGATTATTAATCTCGGGGAGACTTTTAACGAGAGGTGCGTCGATCAGCAAGTGGACTTTACATTGAAACGTCAAAAGTGTATAAGAAGACGAAGGCCTAGTAATAAAGAAGAAGCTGAAGTCGTTACTTCTAGTTCGGGAGCACTGGAGCAAACGTTCTCCTTGGGAAAAAATTGGAGAAGGCTACGGCGCCGAACCAGGAGGTGCTTGTCTTTCGAAAATTCAACTCCAGACGAGAGCGTGTCCGCGTATACGCACAATGAGGATGTCAAAGGCACAATTGATCTGGCCCTTTCGTACGAGAGGAACCAGCTCACGGTTAAAGGTACATTACTATTTTGAATTTCGCGGAAAGCTTCTTTAAAAGGAAAAGAGTGGTTACTTAGCGCTGCTCGTTTACGTTGCCATAAAATTTTTTTATGATTTTTTTTCTCGAGGGCCACATTAGTTCAGACCATTTCCTTTTTATGTCAGTTTATTAATTGCAGTTTCCTAAATGTTTTGACCCACTTCGCGTTTCTCTTAGGCACGTTTATTTATGTTTACGGATTTCATTTATATGTACGAACAAATGGGCTTAAATTTTAATAATTAAATTTCTAAACCCTCTACAAAATTGGAATAAATTTTAGATCAACTCTCCAAATTGTTCGAAGTACTGAAATCATCGAAATGGTGACAAATGAGACTCTTTCTTAATTGCATGATCAGATGTTCAATTTCGTTATTTTTTGTATCAACGACGAAAAACTATAAAAAGTCTCTAATCTCTTTTTTTGCAGTTATACGATGCCAGGATTTGTACCGGCAAGGGGTGGAAGGACCAATAAACGCCTACGTCAAAGTAAGTTTCTACTTCCAAATATGTTAAATTGTCATACTAATAAAATATGCGTAATAAATACGCAGCGTGCAGCTTAACATTTGACTTTGGTCTAAATTTAAACGCACGTTTCCGGTAACGTGTATATAACTGAAATTTATTTCTGTTTCCAGATTAGATGTTAGGTTAATGTTACGCCGCGGTTCGGTTTTCATAAAAGAGTAGTATCGATTTCGCTAGCTGCGCGATGATATGTGTGTTTATCAGGAAAAATTAATTACTTAACGATTACTTTGCAAAATTTTGCTCGCGATACATATTCATGAAGCTGCAGAGGAAGCCACTCTAGGAAGCAGCACGAGAAGATCGATACTTCCTATTGCGTCATTGGTACCGACCTACGTCATTGTGACGGTAGTTTACGTACCGACATAATACAACCGAAATGGGTTAACGCGAATGGTCTACTTTCCAAGCTCAAATTTTGCTAAACCGCGATCTCGTAATAATAAATGCCAAGTTTCCTGGCAGCAACGTAATTTAAAGTCTACAATTATTACACAGATAATGAATGAATTTCCAAAGTTCTCGCAGCCAATTTTAAAACTCATTTCTTACATAACGAAGAGCAGAACTTTCAGTGGGTCATTGAGATGTGGGACGGGGGTAGATAATCGTAACAATTTAAACATTCGGTTTCAAATTTTAAGCATTTAAGATGAATCTAATAATTGGAAACATTTCATGTTTTTTACTTTTACTTTTACATTTCCAAAATATGTCAAAATTGAATTTCTAACCTTACGTCGTATACATTGTATGACGATTTTGACGCAATTACATAGTCAACTTTTCTTACCCCCGGCCTTTCAAGGTAAGCGAGCTAATTCTGAGTGGATCTAAAATTCTTATTGATTCTGTCACCCCAGAGCCACAGTGTAGGTTAATTGGAGGCAAAGTTTCCCCTTTTTGTCACTAAAAAAACACATTTGAAATTTAAAAAAAAATCTGAAAATAACTGAGATATCGCCGAAAATGCCAAATTTAAGCTTAAACGGTCGAAAATGGTCCTGTGGACACTTTTTCTCTGAGCATTTGATCTGTTATCAGCATTTCCAGAACACATTTCTTATAGACGCCATATTGGATTTTTACGGACTGTGACAGAGTACCAAAAAATTCATTTGAATGCATCGCCATCATAGCCATGTTGATTCATCTAGTTATCCGTGGATGTTGATTTTGAATAAATAATAAATGTACGTAAAAGTTTTTTTTGTCCTCTACCTCATTCCGTAAAAATCCAATATGGCGTCCATAAGAAATAAGAAAGTAGTAGTCTGTAGCTTCTACATCTAGTCCGGGAACCACTCATTTTGCAATCAGCGAATATCGATAGCATTGTTTGACCAGTGATTCCATGTTCCAGGCAATAAATCGCAGAATGATTGGGGGATGTTTTCCGAGAATTAAAATGTGTTCTCTTTTTTTGCACTAGTGAAAATGAATCAACTAGGGAAAAGAATTTTAAAGTAAAAAAATTCGGACCCCTCCGTCTCCAAAGATATTGAGATGTGGAAACATCTACTATCAAAATATAAATATGCTATGTCAAATCCATATGTTAACAAGAAAATGAAATGTGACCATTTTGTCACATCGTTTCCCGTTAGAATAAAATTGTTGTGATATTCTGTGAATTTCTTCATTCTTTTTCTTACCTATGAAATTTATCATCTAATAACTGCTTGTCACCCTTAACAATCAACTCACCTGTTAACATTTTGCCGCATATTTAGCAAACATCCTGTATATATTGAGACGTGATTTCAGGAGAATTGGGTCACAAATAAACAATGTATAGATGCGTAACGTAACAATTTTATGCAGCCTTTTACTCTGCGTATGCGCAACCTATTTTGGGATGTATGTTTAATTTATTTTTTAGGAACTGGTTTCCCTTAAAATTTCAGAAAAAACGGCTCATAAACAGAGCTGGGCAGTATTCGATTTTGTAAATACTTTTTAGTATTAAAATCCTTTATGTATATAAATACTTTTATGGAAGCAGTATTTGTATTTGTAACTCAAATACTTTCACAAATATTTAGTATTCGAATACTTAGCAAAGTATTTGGATACTTTGAGAAGAATTCAAATACTTCGCCTTTTTCACCAAAAATCGACTGCACCAAAATTTCTCGGGAAAACACTTTTTCTTATTAATTTTGGTGCGTAGAATCCAAAACAATTCGTACTTTTTCGATCAGATTTCTCAATCAAAAGTTATAGACTAGAAACCAATTTCGAAAGAAAATTCAAAGGGCTAGTAGCCCAATCTTGGAACTGTATAACATTCCTTTTTTACCAAAAATCGACTACACCAAAATTTCTCGGGAACGGAAAACACTTTTTCTTATTAATTTTGGTGCGTAGAATCCAAAACAATTCGTACTTTTTCGATTAGACTTCTCATTCAAAAGTTATGGACAAAAAACAAATTTCGAAAAAAAATTCAAAGGGCTGTAACTTTTGATCTAGTACTTGTTTTTAATCTAATTCTTATTTTTTAAAGTATTTGAATACTTTTCAATGTATTTGTATCTAGTATTCGCTTGTGCTGGAGGTAAAAGTATTTAGTATTTATAACCTTTGATTTGTGTAAAGTATTTACTATTCAGTATTCAAATACTTTTTGAAAGTATTCTGCGGGTCTGCGTATGCGCAATCTATTTTTTCAAAAAGTGCACAATATAAATAATGATCCAAAGGATTAATCCTGGTTTCCAACAGAGCCAATTTTATTTTTCTCTATCAATGCATTTAACAGTTTCCTCAATCAAATTTTGGTTCTCTTTGATCCAAAATGATCGCAGAGCAAGTTTTATGTTCAAGTTTTGGCTAATCAAAAATAAAAATGCGACAAATGTATCAAATTTATAAGTAAATAAACGGCAAAAGTGTAAAATTATGAGAACCGAAAAAATAAATTCTTTTGCTATAACTGTTTGACAAAAAAAATCTTTCCTTGGTGGAAGCCTCGACACCATAACGAACTAAATAGGTAAAAATCTGAAAGCGACACAGCCGTAGGAACGGACAAACGGTCGGACGGATGCGAAAAGTTGCCACAATAGCACTTTTTTTTAAATTTTGCTCATACGCGCAATCCATACGTTTTCAATTTTCTTTTATAAGAACCATCTTCTGTTAAAATTTCAGAAAAATCGGTCCACAAATAAAAAAGTTGACTTTGCGTAACCGCGATCCATTTTCTGACGTGTGTTTTAAGTTCGTTTTGTGAGAAGCCTTCAGTTAAAATTTCCGAAAAAAATTTCAGAAGAAAAACTTCTGTCTTCAGAGAAGATCGTGCCTTCACGTTGGTTACGTGCAAATTGTTCTGCATACGCCATTACTGTTATACTTGACTTTTGTCTACCTCTCAAATAAAATTTTGACCCGCAGCACCCACCGAAATTTTCGTGTGGGTTCAAAATTTGAACACTTTTGTTCAAAAGGATGTTCAAGGTTTTAACCTGTAAAAATTAACGATTTTCGGCGTTCTAGGAACTAGGATCTGAATGATTTCGAGTCACTGGTAAAATGTGGTATATAAAATGATCAAAATCGGATTAGCGCTTATATTAATACGCGCAATCAGTTTCTACATCTTTGCCGTTCTAACACATACTATTTGAGGTAGAAGGCAAGTGGGTATCCAATCCTTTTTATAGTTCACCACCCGCGCTGACAAAAACTAGCTACCCACTTGCCTTTTACCCCAAATACCATGTGTTAGAATGGCAAGAACTTATTCATTTTATACGAACTATAATTGCGGCATAATTTCGGTTGATTTATATCATCGTATAATTATTTCGTGGAACACAGCCAGGGAGGGTGCTTTACAAGCATCCACTTCAGAACACTTTAGGTTATTTTAGGGTTTCCAAATTCTACCTTTAGTGTGCCTAGCGGCGCACGTTGGACATTCATTCCCTCAAATGAGAGAATAAAGTAGTACGAAGACCGAAAATCGATTTTGAATTACTTGTGTTTAGTAAAACTTTGTATTACAGAAAAGGAAACACAAGAGTTACGAATAATGTTATAAAATGAAATAGGACACAACCATCAATCACGTCAATAGCATACGTTTGATCACCACTAATTTTTCACGAGAAAAACGAAATCGATGTTAATTCATACCCTCTTTCCCTTCTGAATAACAAGCAGGTCGACGCGTAGTTGTATTTAAATTGCAACGTTTCTGTATGTAATGCTATCATCAGGTTGATATCGCAAATTTTAGTGCTCGAAACACGAAATCATTGCTTATTAGCTTAATTACGAAATGTGCTTCGTATGGCTTCCAAAGAACAAAATGTTGTGGAAGCACAAACTCGACAATTGAACAAAACCAATAAAATGGTTTAAGTAGTTTACATGGTCTTGGAGCAAAGCTTTGTCGTGGGCAGACCGACAGACACATGAATAAAATTGCGATATAATATTATTTTGTGATCGTTAAATGAATTATAATTAACTATTTTGTACGTCTTCTTCAAAACCCATTAGTGGAAGGTTATCTGTCTGCAGATTCCATCGTCTAGGTACAAAGGTCAATGTTAATGTTAACTTTTCCAAAAGCCTAGATACTGAGTGTTTGATAAAGTGATCAAGGTTTGCGTGACCAATGAACTAATGCAATTTTGCATTTAGCATAAGTCAAGAAACATTATTTTACATGCTAGGTCGTTAACGTGAATTCCACCTAGGAAAACTCATTTGCGACCCTTAGTAACATGCAATTTCCTAAACAGCATTTTTCCACGTAATTAATTGCACGTTCCTAATACGATAATAAGCACCTTTCTACGTTATGTAACATAAATGTGTTTATAGGTAATCATGGCTGATAGAACTGGTGACTTGCAGAAGAGACGTCACGGTTTCATACAGCGAACCGTGGTCCACCAGAACTCCTCCAGACCTTCATTTAACCACTCCTTTAGAATACCGATTTGCAAAAACAACATTAATAAACGATTGCAAATCGAAGTTTGGCACCGAGACCGCAGTTGTAGGTAAGTGAAAACGTTCATGACCAAAATGCTTCCGTACCAACCGTACGAATCAACAGTTTTTTCTGCGCCATCGCTAAATTTTTTTGTCTATTTTTCCCATAATCGTTTACGCGAATGCGGTCGGCATAATAATTGTCCCCCCATAGATAGAGCCATCGGAAAAATGGCAAAGAAATAGGAAACGTGGAGGAAAAAGCGCCTCGAGCGTCGCACTACTGCGCGCACTACGCAAAATCGGAACCGGATTCAGATCGATATTTAGTTTCCGCACTCTTAGACAATACCCCACATAGGAAAAGCGTTTTTCACTTCTCGCTGCTTTTCCGGACGGTGGTTGAAAGGAAAGAGCAAATCTAACTGGAAACGGTCGTGCAGGAAGATGTGTTTACAGCAGAACCTGGAGCTCCAGTCTTACTTTTACTGACCTCCTGCTGTAATCAACACCCCCGTTTTAGGGGTATTGTTTTAGTGCGGAGCCGTTGTGTTACTGTGATCGGTGATGATGACTATAGTGTCTTTTTAGTTAGTATATAAACAATTTTTTTCTTTACCTTTAAATGTTGTAGTGAGTTTAGACAAATTGTGATTCCTTCAATGCTAAATTAGGAAAAAGAAAACGGAATGAGGAAAATTGTGGAACTTTGGTGTGTTTGAAGATAGTAAAACGTAATGTCGTTCGTTTCGCAAACGGCAGCAGTTTGTGGTAAACGATCAGGAAGGGCAACCGGCGATCACTGTGAGGGACATTGTTGTTGCCGTCAAAGAAAATGCAGTATTATTAGCCAATCGTCTAGCGAATCCCCTGTACGAGAAGCATGACCCCAATCAACATCACAACAGTAAGCCCTTCAGTTTATCCTTTGGTTAACACCTAACCTCAATTGCGCGTGGTAGTAATTACATAACGTGACCTAAATTTTGTTTTGAACAGTATCAATCGTATAGTCAAAGCCATCCCTTCAGGTGTGATTGATCGTGCCTGACAATGTACACTCAATTACTCTCGCCGTGAGTGCGACTATTCACGTGCCATTCGAACAGATGACCCGCATTTTATGGATAAATGTGGGCCCTCAGGTCGACCCTCGGTAAAGGTGAAGTAAAAATATTACGTTTATTCCGCAACAGTTTGCCCTTTCGGGAAATCTCAAATAGGTTGTGAAAATATATTCCTCGAGTTTAAAATCCCTTGGCTCGTTTCCACTTTTCCCAAAGTAAAAATGGATTTTTTAGTTCAGCGTTGCGCACCCTTGATTATCCTATTAGCAAGTGTTGGGGCGATTGCAGATTTTTATCGTCTGAAACGCACATCCTACAATTATTTCACCCTTTTTGGTGGCGTGAATTTTTCATTGACGTGGATGAGAAAATGCGTCGCAGGCGAAAAACAAAATACACAATGCAACCCCCACGAGCATGAATGTGCGTTTTCATGTACTACGTTAAATCTAATTTGTCTGCATCGAACGTTGCTTTGGCCTTTAGTCCGAATGGCTATAATATGCTACATCGATCACAGTCAGTCAAATGCGGAATTTCTGAAAAGATTTACCTACGTATTTCGTTTATTGTATTATTTATTGTATTTCTACTCCTCTCTTCACGTCAGTCTATTTGCTTTTTGTGCTCAACTTGAAACGCGTAGTAGTAGTTGTTCTAAGTTTGATGCCCTTTCACTTTTAGACGCATACGAACTTGCGTGCTAAAAGAACATAATTGTAATATGGAATTTGGAATTAACTTGTTCGATGTTAAGTAAATAATAAGGGAGTAAACTGAAATCATTAGCTAATTCACGTAACAGTGAAAATCATTTGGTAAGTTAGACTGTACACATAATTCAAAAGGTTAATTAGCAACATTTGTTGTAGTACCGAGTACCTAGATTGACAGGGAACCATTCTAAACGTACAATTACATTGTACCCACAGCACCACCACCAAGTATTTGAATTGCAATCCATCCCCTGCCATTAATCAGTATAGAAAGTTCCCTGCAAGGTACTTAAAAAACATATTTTGCACCTTATCCTACGTCACTTAATATTCTTCCATTTACAAATAGTGCAACTTTAGATCGTTGCCCTCCGGCTTCCGTATAACATTTTCTGTTTTTATTAAATTCAGAATTACATAACGTTTTACGTTACCAACGAGTACTCGGCAACTATTCTGTTTTTCTGTTCTGTTCTGTTTCTTATTTCTTGTGTAGGTACATCCGATATGTGATACATCATTAGAAACCTCAATAAAATGCTTTTCAACTGGCCCCAATAATAAGGTATTACTGTAACATAATAGATATTTAAAATGAGTAACGACAAAATTTAGATGTATAACGTTAACTCAGATCGACCGGGAAAAAACACTTTCCTATAGAATTTCAAACAGTTTGAAGATTGGGCTACTAGAGCAAAAGTTACAGCCCTTTGAATTTTCTTTCGAAATTGGTTTCTAGTCTATAACTTTTGATTGAGAAGTCTGATCGAAAAAGTACGAATTGTTTTGGATTCTACGCAGCAAAATTAATAAGAAAAAGTGTTAACGACTTTTTCTGTCATATAGCACAAACTCTAATAAATAATAACCCACAAAACAGAAACCGACATTACATCCCAAAAATGAACAATAATCCCCATACATTTGTTTTGCTTCCATTTACCACTAGTGAACTATCAGTCCTTATAATTTCCAAATTAAAAAATAAACACTCAACCGGCCCGGACGGGATACCACCAGTACTTATAAAACAAATTTTACCATCAATAATATCCCCACTGACATACCTTATAAATCTGTCATTTAGCATGGGAGAATTCCCAAAAATGTTAAAAATCAATAACGTTATCCCCATTTATAAAAAAGGAGAGCATAAGTGTATACACAATTATCGTCCTATAGCCCTCAGCTCCACTTTCTCTAAAATATTTGAATATTGTTTCATTGAACGCCTCCAAAGCTTCATTACAAAACACATACTAATGTCGAAACAACAGTTTGGTTTTCAACCGAAATGCTCAACAACAGACGCTCTACCAAATTTTTATTGTAAGCTAATTAAATATATAGACAACGGAGAATGTCCAATAGGGATCTTCTGTGACCTTACAAGGGCCTTTGATTGCGTACACATTGACAAGCTGCTCTTAAAATTAGAGAATTATGGTATCAGAGGTGTTGGACTCAGCGGAATCTCTTCTTTCCTTTACAACAGGGAACAGTACGTTTCTATTACCGGACTAGTAAACGGCACCAAGCAAATATTTAAATCGCAGAATAAAGTTACAAATGTTGGGGTCCCGCAGGGATCGGCACTGGGACCAACGCTGTTTCTGCTGTATATAAATGATCTACCCACTTTCCTCGGGACAGAAGCACCCCATTTCTTATATGCGGATGACACGTCATTGCTGGTGTCCCATAAGGACGAGAAATTACTCACAAACTTGTGCAATAATTACTTGCATAAGCTTAGTGTTTGGTTCAAGGAAGCTTCACTTGTTCTAAATGCAAGCAAAACCAATTATGTTCGTTTTCATCACTCACAAAAAACCATTAACCCTGTCGCTCTACAAATAGAGGACAACACTCTGCAAGATGTTTCCACCACTAAATTTTTGGGTCTACATTTTGACAACCACTTAAGCTGGAATGTACACTGCTCCAAACTCGCAGCTAGATTGAGTTCGGTTAATTACCTAATTAGAAATCTCAGACGCGTCTTAACTCTAAATCAACTCGTTAATATATACCACTCGCTTGTGGAGTCCATCCTACGATATGGGATATGTCTATGGGGTTCGTCTACTCACTCGCATGCTATTTTCATTGCCCATAAGCGCATTATAAGAACAATTGCAAACGTGTCAAAATTTCATTCGTGCAGAGGTCTCTTTAAAGATCTGGAAATCTTAACGGTTCCTAGTTTATTAATTTTTGAAAATTGTAAATTAATCTTCACCTATTCTCATAAACTGATTAGGAACAAGGACACACATAGCTATAATTTACGTGATAATGACCTTTTCCAAATCCCCACTTTTAAAAGACAATTAACCGCGAACTCTCCCATTGTTCTTGGAGTACAAATGTATAACAAGCTACCTCACTACTTAAAAGGCTGTGACACTCTAAAACTGTTCAAACAAAACCTGTTAAAGTACCTGATTCTTAACCCATTTTACACCACTAGTGAATTTTTTAACTTTAATTGTTACCTAATTGTTAGTTTGTAATTGACTTGTGCTATACATACGTTTTGTTGGTCTATGCACTAAAAAATATATTATTATTATTATTTATTTTTGTCCCGAGAAATTTTGGTGTAGTCGATTTTTGGTAGAAAAGGAAGGTTATACACTGCCTTTTTTTGAGGCGTGAAAAAAAAATTCTCAGATCGACCCGGAAAAAAAATTTCTTATAGAATATGGCCTGTAGAATCCATAATTTCAAATAGTTTTAAGATTGGGCTACTAGTTCAAAAGTTACAGCCCTTTGAATTTTCTTTCGAAATTGGTTTCTAGTCTATAACTTTTGATTGAAAAGTCTGATCGAAAAAGTACGAATTGTTTTGGATTCTACGCACCAAAATTAATAAGAAAAAGTGTTTTCCCGAGAAATTTTGGAGTAGTCGATTTTTGGTAAAAAAAAAAGGAAGGTTAAGTATTCAAATACTATGCGAAGTATTCGAATACTTCTCAAAGTATTCAAATACCTTGCGAAGTATTCGAATAGGTACTAAATATTTGTGAAAGTATTTGAGTTACAAATACAAATACTGCTTCCATAAAAGTATTTAATTACAAAGTATTTGAATACTTTAAAGGATTTGAATACTAAAAAGTATTTACAAAATCGAATACTGCCCAGCTCTATTTGCAGACGATTGTCGAAATTATAACCTATTTTGTATAGGAATAGGGCCCCACTAATATGTTGAGCCCCTGGCCTACAGAAACCTTAATCCGGCCATGTTTCATTATTCCGAATGAAAAGATTGAA